GGTGGGGTTGTAGGTTTAGCTCTTTTTTTATTATAATACTGGCTTACATCACGAGGCAGGTCGAACTCTCACCCAACCACACCCACTCATATATGTCCATCTTATATTTAAAGCTATCCAATGTTCTCACTTCAGTGACACTATTTGGAAGTTTTTTCACCTTCACCTCTTGTTAAACATATATCCAACCTATTTCTCTATCCATTCTAAATCTGAAGTTGTTTAGCTTCAGTTGTTTAGTTTCCAGAGTACTCATCACTGGACTATTTCAATTTTAAACTACAAGATTACGTTCATGCGTCGTTTAACGATGGGGATACGTTGAGAATGCGTCGTTAGGCGATTTCGTTGTTCAGTGACTGTCATAGTGTACTTGCACAAACCTAGATTGTATAGCCTACTACACACCTAGGCTATATGGTTTGTTTTTTTTCATCGTAGATTTACTTGTAAGCAGGTAATGCACGAGATTAAATCAAGCACGATTAAATCAAGAGACGCAGTAAACACGAGATGTATGAGGCTGCTGCCGGCGTAACACTCCTTACTGTAAACATTTTTTTTAAACAAGTAGAAAGAGTATACTCCAGAAAAACGACAAAAAGTACAGTAAATACATAAACCAGTAGCAGTTATTTATTGCTATTAGTATTATGTACTGTTTAAATGATCCTCGTGGGTTTAGCGCTTGGTTTTGATTACAACTATAATTATGTATTGTATATTATTGTATGTGCTATACTTTTATACGACTGGAAGTGCAGTTTTCTTTACACCACCATCGTATATGTGGTCCGCCGTTGACCGAAACGTCGTTATGCGGTGCATAACTAAAATTTTTTTTTTAATTACAAATTACTCCTTGCTTGATATTACTAGTGGAAACTTGTGTAATCACAATATCTGAACTACGTTTTGAAGCAAGAATTGCTTACCACAGTTTGAAACAGTTGTTACCAGGAACTGAATGTTAATTTCATTTCTGGTAACTTGAAAGACGTAACAATCCCATTATGCTATGATTATAGTTGCAAAAAAAAAATTGTATTCGTTCGTATTGCATATTCTGCCTTGCAGTTTTATACCAGTGTTTGACATTATTGATTCATGACTTAAATAGAGGGCTTGAAGGAGATCTGACCGTAGTGTTTCCTAAGAGGAAGGAACAAAGGTTGAGTGGCTTATTTTTATAAGGTTTACTTCCTAGATTCTGACGAAGGTTTCAGAAAGGTTCTTAAAGTTCTTCTACTGTCATCGGTATAGAAAAATTATCACTCATGTTTAGTATGCTGTGCTTTATTATGTAAAGTTGACCCCTCAAGGAAGGTTCCTTGATGTTGGTGAGGGGCTCTTGATTTAGGGAATTGGATCTGTGCTCCAGTTCCCCGAATTAAGCCTGAATGCCTTCCACATCCCCCCCCCCAGGCGCTGTATAATCCTCCGGGTTTAGCGCTTCCCCCTTGATTATAATAATAATAATATGTAAAGTTGTATTTGTTCCATTAATCGTTAAACTCGTGTGAGTCAGTGCAGTGAGTGAAGGTTCGATCCTCCGTTCTCTTATCGCAGAGCAGTCAGAATATTGGTTACATCTTATTTATGCGAATATTTTTTTATATTAGTGGCCTGTTTAAGTGTGTAGGTGCCTTAATGCTGGTGAGAGGCTCTTGGTTCAAGGAGTTGGAGCTGCCCTCCCCTTCCTTGGATCATACCTCATAACTTTCCATTTCCCAGATGCTTCCCATCGATGATTGTTACTGAGAATTGTAACTTCTAATAACGTATAGCTGTCTCGTTTTTATAATTCAAGCTGTAAACCCCCATGGGTCATATAGAGTACGGTGCGAAAGTTCGCTAAATAACTATTTTAATTTTTTTCATTTAATTTGATTACTTTTAATTTTTTTTTTTTTTTAGATGTAACTGGATTACCTTTTACATTTTTTTATTCAGTTGAATTGCCTCTTAATATTTTAATTATAATATTGTGAAGTTTACTTCAGTGGGAAAGATTAGATATTTTCATTAGGTTTGACTCAAAGAAGTGGATGGAGAACCCAGCGTCAAGACGACTTTATTTTGCTACTGCGTGTAAGATTTGTATTTAATTTCCCAGTTTCAAAATTAATGACAATTCCTTTACATATAGAAATGGCGGAAATGCAAAATGCTTTCAGTAATTTTTTTTCCAGCATCATGTCTAGGGTCTCTACCCCCTTCCCCAATCCTTTAACCTAACTGACAAAAAACACCGATTCAGCCACTTTGTAAATACACTAATGATAACCTTGGCATGGATGCTTGAAATGCATCGTCTCCGCAGATATCTGGTGAACGGCTGGTAGCGGACACCTGGTGAACGCCTGGTAGCGTATATCTGGTGAACGCCTGGTAGCGGACATCTGGTGAACGGCTGGTAGCGGACACCTGGTGAACGGCTGGTAGCGTATATCTGGTGAACGCCTGGTAGCGGACATCTGGTGAACGGCTGGTAGCGGACACCTGGTGAACGCTGGTAGCGTATATCTGGTGAACGCCTGGTAGCGGACATCTGGTGAACGGCTGGTAGCGGACACCTGGTGAACGCCTGGTAGCGGACACCTGGTGAACGCCTGGTAGCGGACACCTGGTGAACGCCTTGGTAGCGGACACCTGGTGAACGGCTGGTAGCAGACACCTGGTAAACGCCTGGTAGCGGACACCTGGTGAACGCCTGGTAGCGGACATATGGTGAACGCCTGGTAGCGGACATATTTAAGAACACACTATTCAGAACAAGGTCAGCTAGCAGAACAATATACTAAGCTCAGCATGGGAGTCGTAAGTAGCAGTAAGTATCCCCAGTTTGTTAACATAATTCCCGTAAATTATTCAATCTTAAATATTTCGTTTAGAAAAAGTTATGTTTTTTATACATTCCCCCTCTAGAAGAAATCAACACTGCCCTCCCATTACTGTATGTATTAATTGACAAGAGAGACCCTTTTCAAATATAGAATTTGCCTAAAATCAACCACTTAAAAGGAGCAAGTCGCTTCTAGTCACAACACGATATTAAAAATGATAGAAGTTATCACGGGGTTCTTCAGCTTTTACAGGATATTTGGCTCTAAGTGCCTTGATTAAGATTGCAATATTATTTAAAATATTTTCTCCCAGCATCATTTTTTCCAGCACATTCTATTTGTAACTTGAGAAAGAGAACACTCCTTAATACTTCTAGAACTGAAAATTATAACAGGTATTTTTTTTTCCCCCGATCACGATACTACTATTTTCTATAAACTGCAATCACTTAAGATTCTGTTGTCCACACAAGACTCGCTCGTGGACATCTCGTAGAAAGGCGCCCAAGGCATCTTTTTGATGGACTGTCCTGCTTAGCAAGGAACAGCAGCGCTGTATGGCCATTTGTGGGTTTACCGCTTACTTATGATTATAATCGAGGAGCATGCAGACCTTATTTCTGAACTATTCAACGTCTTTATCCTGTATTCAGCTGCTCTCCCTCTCAGAACCTCTCACCTTTAATGCAGACTCCATGATTTCTTAACTGCAGTGTTAGATTAAAGGGGGGCAACCGGGGCACTAACCCCTTGCCCTCCCCCCACACACAAAAAAAGGGCCATCCCCCCTTACACAAGGCCTCCTCCCACTTCAAACCAGGTAACGTCACAAATATGAAGGAAGGAATATTCACTCGCTTGCTCTTACGCGCTCACACACGTACGTATATGTATGTAATTTGGAGATTTTTAGTAGCAATGGCCCCTGCAAGTTGTTTGCCTTGGGACCCCCCCGTCCATCCCCTCTTCCCACGAATATTTAATTCGACACTTCTTCACTGAAAATGACTTGCTGCACCAGCTACATTATGATTTTCATCTTAGTACATGTCCTCATCCTCCCACACTTCCCGCTAACATCAGCACCCTTTTGCCATGCTGCGTTAATGACATTCACAGATTCAATACATCTTTATGGATATATTCTACAGGACACCAGATGAGTCCATGGCAGCGATGGCACCAGGCTGTACGGGAAGCTGGTGTAGCTGTAATGTTACACGTCACAGCCTCTCTCTATGTAGGTGGCCACCTGCGACCAGACATCTTCTTCAAGAGCATACAGGAACTTGGACTGGAAAAATACAATGCTGTATTTAATAAGATACAGCAGAAGACCATAGCGAAGTCGGGACCAGCAGGGAACTATGACATCGCTGAAGCGGCATTGAATGAAGACTTTGACATTACTTTGCACTTCCGTCTGCAGCAGCATGTGTGTGGCTTGGCCCCACTAAATTCGCATCCATGGTACAATAAGAGAGAACTGGAAAATAAACTCTATCGCTTAAATAAACTTCGGAATGAGGTGAGTCATCGTACTGTGGAAATTACAGAGGATCAACTGGATGAAAAATTGCGTGGCTTGCAAGAATTGCTCTTTTCCATTCTAGATCATGTTGACTTTCTCATAGACGATAATTGTCTCAGTGTTAGGGCTCGGGTCATTGAAATTATTCAGGGTTTGAGTGAAGAATCATCAATGGATGAGTGTTGTGTTTAAGACCCCAGCCAGCCTTGTATATTACCCTCACCAGGTGAAGAATATTGTGCTTAACACTCTGCCAACCTCATACATTTCCTTCAACATTAATTTACTATATTAATATAAAACTTTTTATCAGAATGCATTTTTATAATTTACTTACTGTTGCTCAAGATATGTTTCCTCTAATGGTTAAAAAAATTCCTCATCGCTTTGTAATTAGTGTCATGTTTCAGTAATTATTTTTAATTGGTTACTTAGTATAGTAATACTAATTGACATGTTTTTTAATTTAATCAAAATGTGAATTTCATGTGTAGAGGCAGGTTATGGATAGGACTATAATGCCAAATGTTAGGACAATTTGACAGGAATCAAATGATGACGTGGACTTGAAAGTTTAATGAGAAAATATTTATGTTAAATTTTGGTTTATTTCTTGTGTTAGTGAATTAAAAAAAGTGAAAGGGTGAAGAAAGATGTCTATTAAGTTGTATTTTTATAACTTATTGATAAAGAACTAAAAGCCCGTGTCAGTTACTAGTTATAGTACTGAATTTCCATGGCATTGTCTAGATTTTTGCCACTGAAGTGGCTAGTATGTTGTGGACTCCATATCCATCCTGTGGACTGTAAGGCCAGTGCATTTGGATATTTTTAAAAGCCTAGGAACTAGGGTTCCCAAACATTTATCTTTTCCAGTCTGTGCCTAGTACTTTACCTCATACTGTCTCTATTACGGGTGTGGAGGTTCATCCTTCCTCTCGTACAGTTCCCGCCTCTCCTGTCCCCTCCCAAGTGAACTCTAACCTCCCATCCCCCAACCCTTCTTTGGTAACTTTCATCGTCTCTCCGATCTTTACTCACTCTCCCCCTTCTGTCTCTGATGTCGTACTACCTGCAACTTCTCCTCTGAAACGCTTGAAGCTATCTCCGAATATATTGAGGAGACAAAACCAATAGACACCGATCCACCTCCCATCACTCCTCACCTTACTAAACCATGTGCACAAATCCTTTCCTCGCCGCATTCCAGTCCTTCACTGTTATTCGTTTCGCTACCTCCATATGTACATTTTACTAAACTTCCTAGCCCGTAGACACCTACTGCTTCAAGTTACCAGTATACTTCTCTTCTAAGGGGTCATCTAGGGGAGCTTCACGTGTTGCTTTCCCAGTTTCTCCCTGTTCGTGTTTCTTTGCAAAAACCTAAATTACACTCCACTGTTATCCAGCCGTCTCGGGCTTACATTTTATTGCATTCATCGGATCCATTTTTTTCCGGTGATAGCTTTTAATGAAAGTGCACTTCTTGTACGCACTGGTATACCATACCATCAGATCTTTGTTCATAGTTCGCTGCATTACACTGCAGCAAGCATCTACTTGAACAATTGGTATACAGTTTGCCCTTTGCATCTTTCTCCTTCTCGAGCATTATCTATTCCAAACCCATACCACGGGCGGGAATAGAAACCCGCGATCAGAGAGTATGGTTTGTTTGCATGTGTCATTACGATTTCGTGGTCATTATCTGATTTCCAGATGTTGAGTTTATGGTTTCTTCATTCCACACTTCTGTTATTAACACTTGAGCCCATCCTGGACCCATTTGTCTCTGTATCTTTTGACTACCGCCCACAGGATGGGTATGGGGTGCATATAAATTTAACTACTTGTATTGGTGATTTAATGTTCATCATTTCCTCAGGGAGGTGGGAAGTCTCACTGTAACTCTCGTAGCGATCAGTTAGAGGCACTTCTCACTTTTTTCCCCTCACATTTTAAATATGAGTACTCCCAACCATTTTGGCCATCGCACTCTATCTCTCTTGCACTGATCTTTCAGTTTGTTCTTCGTCAACTGCACTCAACTTTAACCTGGTCAGTGCTCCCAGATTTACATGACGACAATCATTTTCCTATCCTCCCTTTCATTTTCCTATCCTCCCTTACTTTCCATTTGTATTCTCGCCCTCCTCGAAGCCCATGTTGGCAATTTGAACGGGCGAATTGGGACCGGTACTCGCGTCAAACTGTTTTTAGTAAGGAATGTTCTTCGTCCTCTTCTGGTGAGCTGTTTCAACTATTTTTGACCTTGGTTTTAACCGCGGCTTCACATTAAATCCCTCAAACCTCGAGTAGGCACTCATAAATGCGTGCCTTGGTGATTTCCTGCTTGTGTTCATGTAGCACGTTTGAAACATGCTACATGGGGGCCGATATCATTACAATAGGACCACAGAGCGACTCCTTGATTTTAAGCGAGCGAGAAACGATTGTCCGATGTGTCATCCGTGAAGCTGATACGCACTTGTTGCCAGGATTATTTCTACCGTTACTTCGGCTCCCTCTGAGTGCAACTTGGAAAAAAAGTGCGGAAATTGAGTGACAAGTACTCTCCAGACCCGGCACCTGTTTTTCTAGGTTGCCAGGATCAACATTGCAAGCCCTCTTGAAGTTGCCACAGAAATTGGAAATCTTGTCCGTATCTCTCAGGGGCTTCATCTATGCCCCTTTTCTTTCTCTCTAAGTCTGCCAGAGAGTTACTGCCTTTAGATTTTTTCTCTAGTTTGAAGGGTCTTATTATGTGCCTTGTACGCTTCTAGAACTAGTCAACACTTTTTGCTTGCCGATCGTTGGGCAGCTGGGCCTGATGGCATTCATATTCGTATGCTTCAGCATTTTACATCCGTCAACCCATGCAGTCCTCTTACGTCTTTTTGATCTTATTTAGTTGAAAGAGGTTCTTCCCGAGCTGTGAAAAGTGCCTTTTCGTAAACCAGGTACTTCGGGCCATGATGCCTCACACTGTCATCCCCTTTGCTCTTACCAGCCCATTTTGCAATTTGATGGAACACTGTAAATAGACGTTTGGTGCGGTTTTTAAAAAACACACAGTGTTTCTCCATAGCCCCAATTTGGGTTTTCGAAAGGGCCGCTCAGTATTGCCCCCTTACCCGTTAGTACCTAGTTCATAATGCCTTTGATAGTAACCACCGGGTTATTGCAGTTTTTTTGATCTCAAAATGGCATATGACGTTTTTTGGAAGTATGACATCTTGGTTTAAGTCATTCCTAGGCCTTGAGGCAAATTTTGCCATTTTTCCCTTTAAAAAAATTTTATCTGAGAGATTTTTCCGTGTTCGGGTTAATAATTGTTTTCCCCCCCGGGACTTTGCAAAGCTGGGGTGTCCCTCAGGAATGTTATTAGCACCATTTTTTCTATAGCAAAATGAGTGGCCTCTGTTCCCCCCATTTTAATATTTGGTCATTTTTTATGCTGATGACTGCCATAGCGTGTGAAGGCGCTGATGCCCCCTGTAGCAGCCTTCCCCGAATGCTGTCAACTGTTTCCATTGGCCCATACCATGGGTTTAAATTTTTGGGGCTAAAAGCACCAAATTATTTTAAAACCAAAGTTTATTGTCTCTGATCTCATTGGACTGTATGGCCCCCATTTTCCCGGGATGTAATTTAGGGTCAGATTTTTCGCCCTTCTGTTTGTCGCTGGCTGTCTGGAAATCTCACTTACCCCCCCGAGAGCAATTCCCTTACCCGGTGAACCCCCTTAAAAACCCCTAGCTAAATTTCGGGGGAGAGGCAGATGTCGAACTTTTCGACTGCATTCACCCCTAATTTTATCGAAATAGACTATGGTGACCTATATATTCTGTGGCCTCTCTCGCAATTTTTTCTAAACTTGATCCCACCCATCATCAGGGACTCTTTTATGTCTGGGGGCCTTTTCTCCCCCTACTGTCGTGAGTACATTAACCCATCCCCAAGGGCGGGGATAGAACCAGCGAGTCATAAAACCCCGCCGGGGTATGGTTTGTTTTACAATATGCTTCATTTCGTGTTTTAAATATGTAGAGGCGAATGTTCCATCCTTGCGATCCCGTGATGCCATTGCCTCCGTTATTTTGTCTATCCCATGACCTTCCGTCCTTGACGTAAAGGAGTGTAACTGACTTAAAAAGGGGTCCATTATTTTTTCAATCCCCCTTTTTACTAGTTTCTTTTTTTCCGTCTTCATCGCTCGTGACTTCTCTTCAGTCCCCCCCTTTCTATGTTCATCTAACTTTATCTTCCCACCCGGGAGGTTCCAACGTTCTTTGTCTGTTTTCCCCCACCCCCCGTGCGCGAAAGTTAAAATACTTACTGTGTTTTCCACTTCCCTTTTTCTAAAACAACTTCCGGTCTCGTTCTCATGCCATTGCATTACAATGTGGTTCTAAAAACCTTAAAAAGTGTGGGTTTTCAGCGGGGTTCCCAGACATCTAGTGCAAGGTCATTTTTAGACTCGGCTTTGCATTTTTTTACAGCTGAACGTTAAATTTTCCCTTAAAAAATCCCACTGTTTGAAAGCAGCTTCAGTTTGTGGAACTCTTATGTGCGAGTGTGACTAAGGTTACTAGTGAAACCTGGAAATTTTCCTTTTTGCAAAGGCCCCCACGGCCCCCTGCTTTTTCCCCCTTTTGCCTTTTTTTGACCTCAGCCTTTTACCTCTTTCAAATCAGTGTAGAGGCGAATTTTGCGTCCAAAATGCTACTCGTGCCTCTCAAAATGCTCACAACTTTCGCTTTACAACCTGAGGAAAACGACGGGGTGGGCAGTCCCCACGTGAGTTGGTAACCCAGGTGTCACAACTGAAGCCGCTTTCCTCCAGACCTGTGCTAGAAGTTCTGCAAATTTGGAGTGGTAACAATCTGTCGAGTATTGCATGTTTGGTAACTCTTGAGAAATCTGCCCAGCCTGTGCCTTGAGCGAGGACGCATCACCTGCCGAGACTTTCGCCCCTATTGCTATGTGAAGAAAGGGAATGTGGTGTCAGTTACCCCTGCTGTTCTCCTGTTCCCCCAACCCCCTCCCCCCTTTAAACTCAGCCCTTCGCCTTATCAAAGGTGCGTTAGAGGTGTATTTTGCTGCCCCGGGTACCGAATAGTGAATTCCCCAAGTGCTGTATTTTTTTTGTAACATTTGCTGAGGGGTTTTTGTGATTGGACTTGTGTACCTCAGTACTTAAATGGTTAAAATGAGTGAGGAATGTTCTGGCCCGTGGGTGACCCTTTAAAAAGGCACTATAAGCCCGATGCCACTTACACCCATACTGGTGTGTCTAGGAGGTGAATGTCCCCTTCCTCGACTTTCTATTCACCCCTATCCCTTAAACCCCCGTTCATTATCACCCAAAGGGATAAGGGAGTTTAGTGATCAGGCCCAAACAGGCTCCAAACCGCCGTGAAGGCCCAAAGGGTACACTGTTTGAATCCCAG